GGACAGTGGCCCGTCAGAATACATATCAGCCTCCTAATTCCCTTCCTTGAGTTAGAGAATAGCCATTTTGATTCTGTTGGTTTGATCTCCTTCACAAACTTCTTCGATTGCCTGTGTCCGGGGGACAGATTCCATTCCTTAAAGAATTGTTTCATGCCCCAGCTATTGATACTCTCTTTCGCTGTGCATATAGTGAGGTAATACCGGTTGTGGCCCGACAGATTTCTTTGCCCAAAAGATCTCTTTCTTTATTTAATATTATCATTCATTTTATTTTCTTTCTTGTTTATTGTTATTATTTATTTTATTTTTCATTGCCCTTTCGCACCGACCACCCGGGCGCTGTAGGGAGTCAAAAAGGCTTAAGGAACAGTGTCCCGGGGGACCCGTGGCGGAGGGGCGATATCTTTTTTCCTTTTTTTTTCTCTCTGCTGCTGTTTCTTTCTGACCTCTAAGTTCTTATAGCTTCCGTCTATAATAAAAAAGCAAGACAAAGCAAGCCAAAGAAACTGTAAAGAGCCGGCGACGGCTTAGGTACAGTACAACAAAAGGCCAAGACGGTTGTGGCCCGACAAACACAGTATTAGAGCCTTCTTTGGCCAGCCTATCTACCTTTTCATTACCATGGTGTCCTTTATGTGCTGGTATCCAAATAAGGGTTACCCTATTCTCATACCTGGAAGTGATCCTATTGATAAGATCAATAGTTTCCTCCACCAGCCCAGATGTTGATAAATCTTTTTGTAATGACCTAACATTTTTGTTTATTTCTTTCATTTGTATGTAAACTAAGAATTTTCGAGCAGCAACGAACCATCTACATCCATTTGGGATGTGTCGTGAACTGACGAAAATCGGCTACAGTGGAACGCGTTCGGCTAAATTGCCGGTCGTCCGTTTGGTCAAATGGTTCGGCTGTTGAACGGCCGTCGTAGTTCGGTTCCAATGGACGAGCAGCCTTAGAACCAATTCGTTCGGTCGTGTTGGGCCGTGTACGGCCGAAGCACTTTCCGATCCAAATAAAGTTGGATTTTCCAGTCCTATTCGGCCGAATGGTTACTTCGAATTCAACTGTCAACCACGTGACATCAAACACATACCATTGTTTAACGCCATTCTTTGCTTTTTGCATACCTTTTCGTTTCGTTTTCATTTCGATGGATTGCGAAAAATTGTTGTGCGGTTGAGGAGCAGGCTCTTGGGACATGCGTGATCCACTCTATCATCGGAAAGATGTCCAGCGTAAGTTGTCGTAAGTGGCCAAGGATAGCTTTAGAAATGGAACTTCCAACATTTTTGTTTATTTCTTTCATTCCATTTGTATGTAAACTAAGAATTTTCGAGCAGCAACAAATCATCTACATCCATTTGGGCTGTGTCATGAACTGACGAAAATCGGCTACAGTGAACGACGGCGTTCGGCTAAATTGCCGGTCGTCCGTTTGGTCAAATGGTTCGGCTGTTGAACGGCCGTCGTAGTTCGGTTCCAATGGACGAGCAACCTTAAATTTGAAGTAATGCTCACTCGTAACTAATTTTAAAGAATTGAGGAAAAACGCCCTAAAATCTGAACTAAGTTAACTCTAATAGCTGTAGTACATTTAATCGAGGATTCTGGCAAAAACCACTCCAAATATTAGCGTATTAAAAACTGAATTTTTCGCTCAAATTAAACAAATAAGTAAAGTTTTGTTTAAATACTACAATAATATCCAACTTTTAAAAATAAAAACCTGNTACGGCCGAAGCACTTTCCGATCCAAATAAAGTTGGATTTTCCAGTCCTATTCGGCCGAATGGTTACTTCGAATTCAACTGTCAACCACGTGACATCAAACACATACCATTGTTTAACGCCATTCTTTGCTTTTTGCATACCTTTTCGTTTCGTTTTCATTTCGATGGATTGCGAAAAATTGTTGTGCGGTTGAGGAGCAGGCTCTTGGGACATGCGTGATCCACTCTATCATCGGAAAGATGTCCAGCGTAAGTTGTCGTAAGTGGCCAAGGATAGCTTTAGAAATGGAACTTCCAACATTTTTGTTTATTTCTTTCATTCCATTTGTATGTAAACTAAGAATTTTCGAGCAGCAACAAATCATCTACATCCATTTGGGCTGTGTCATGAACTGACGAAAATCGGCTACAGTGAACGACGGCGTTCGGCTAAATTGCCGGTCGTCCGTTTGGTCAAATGGTTCGGCTGTTGAACGGCCGTCGTAGTTCGGTTCCAATGGACGAGCAACCTTAAATTTGAAGTAATGCTCACTCGTAACTAATTTTAAAGAATTGAGGAAAAACGCCCTAAAATCTGAACTAAGTTAACTCTAATAGCTGTAGTACATTTAATCGAGGATTCTGGCAAAAACCACTCCAAATATTAGCGTATTAAAAACTGAATTTTTCGCTCAAATTAAACTAATAAGTAAAGTTTTGTTTAAATACTACAATAATATCCAACTTTTAAAAATAAAAACCTGGTGCTGCAGTTTTATAATGCTTAAGTTAATTTTACCATTAAAATTACTCTCCTGGTATTAAAAAAACAACAACAATTAAATGGGTATTATAAATAAATAATGTAAGAAAAAAAATAAGAGACAAACAACTTACTCCATTTCGTTCAAGAAGAGAAAATAAGCTGGCCCAAAATTAGACAGACGACAGTGATGACGGACTCAGTTTTATTATTACTGTAAAGCGTACATGTAACGTAAAGTACACAGTAGTCAGTACAGTGAACTGAGTGAAGGTTAAAAAATAAAATAACAACTGAGAGAAGTGCATTCCCCACTGTAGCTATGGGTAGTAGCGCACTGGCGTTTTCCGCCAACTTTTAAAATATTTTAAACTTTTTAAAATCTATCATGTTGTATAGTTTAATTGAACAACGGCTTAAAATTAAGGCTTTTAACAACGTAATTTGTCAAATTTTACGACGATAGTAACTAAATAGTTAGTTAATTACTAAAATTTCATAGTTGTGAAACAGCCCTAATCAAAATCTCAGATGATATTCGCCTAGGCATTGCTATTATTGTTCTATTTGATTTTTCCAATTCGGTTCTGTAAATCATAATTTGCTTATTTTGAAACTGACTCATCTTTTTTTTTTTTTTTTTTTTTTTTTTTTTTTTTTTTTTTTTTTTTTTTTTACTGCTACTAATCTTATTTACTCCTGTCTGACCGAACTCAGAGAGTTAAAGCTTCAAATTCTCTCTCAATTTCAGCTGGTGTCCCCCCAGATTCTATTCTTCCACCTTTATTTAATCTTTTCCATCTTTCTAAATGATCTTCCATTATTATTATTGTGTGGTGATTAGTGACCGTTAATCGATATTTATTTAGAAATTGTGAGATGCGGTCTGGTGTGATGTAGGTTTCAGAAAAACATTATCTTTATCGTGCCAACATTTTGTCTTTATTGAGATCATCTTCAGGGCTCAAAGTGTTTGTCTTCTGTCTAATTGTGCCATTCTTGCGTGTCGTGTCGAGAGTGCCAGTGAGATTTTGCACTGGCACTCTCGACACGACACACAAGAATGGCACAATTAGACAGAAGACAAACACTTTGAGTGAGTAGAAATACTTTGATTGAGTATATAAAATATATTTTGCATTTTATAATTCACTTTTCCACATCCAAAATGTAATTGTAATATTTAAACAATGTTTGTAAATCCCAGGCCCTGAAGATGATCTCAATAAAGATCGAAACGTTGGCACGATAAAGAAAATATTTTTATGATACCTACATCACACCAGACCGCATCTCACGATTTCTAAATAAATTATATTTTATTTTTATGTTACTACATTAATTTTTATTTCTTCTACATTTTATAAATCTACTTTTCTTTCCATTGTATACTTTCTGGTCTTTTATTGTCAAAGTTAGAGTATATTGTAAATTGTTACTTTTTATATTTTGTAAATTAAAAAAGGGTGTGGCTTCCCGTTTAAAAAATAGATAAACTCTTATTTAAAACCTGGGTTAATAATTAAGAAGAGATATTTCTTCATGTTCTGAATACTGTTTTGGATTTATATATGCTAGTGATTTTTTTCCTCTTTCCAATAACCCTGAAGAAGAGGGTTTATCAAATCTTATTTATTAATTTTTTTCCTTTCATAATTTGTAAACTAATTTACCAAAAGTGAATGTATTTTCTATACATTTTAAAATGATAACACAGCAAGTCAAAATCACAAACTGGGTGTGGGACTTTTCATCACTAGTTTGTGTTAGTTTTTAATTTTGACTAAGAACTAACTTTTGTATTGAGTTTCCTCGCTTGGGCATCCTTCTCTCTAGAGAATAATTTTCTTAATCAGTGCCAACTATAAATTTGCCACATTTGCAGATAGCTTTCGACGATCTTGAATCTTTCAAGCTACATTTTTCCATGTTTAATGAGAGCCACAGTAAATCGGTCTTGTGGTCTAATTAAGTTCAGAAAACATTAAACATAGTTCTTTTCTTAATTTTGAAAGTTAAACATACTTGACATATCCATCCTTACAATTTCACTTCCATCTAGGAGTGTCATTTACAACTTTACCCTGGTCGACTTTATCCCATTTGTGAAAAATGAGGCGGAATTGAGATTGAGGCCCAGGCCCAGCCTTTTGCATCACTCACATTTTCAAAAGGAATATAAAAAGAACATTTTTTAATTTGAAAATCACTTTTTTTTCAAATTTATTACATAACAATTTGTACTCTCGATTTCTTAGATGGTGTAAGAATCGACAAGAAAGAGCTTCGACAACACAGGACATATTGAAAGAGCCGAGTCTCTCTTGGAAATTTATTGTTTACAGCAAATGAAAGCCCTATTGGATCTTTCCCAGTTGTTAAGCAGAATGTCATATTAGCAACATAGGCATTCCAAATATAAAGCAAATAACCCTGTTTAAGCTTACCCAACATTTCTCCAAAACCATAGATTTTTCCAGACTAGAGAGAAAGTATGATTGGGATTGATTAAACTTATTTATTGCAGTATACAAATATGTTTAGTTTATTGTAAAAAGTCGACATTTTATCAAGACAATTCAGAAAGAAGGTTCATAAATTCCATTTTAATGCATTTGATAACACGCACAAAAGTATGATTTATAGTTTACATAACTATTCAAAAGATTATTTATTTTATTCTCATACAAGCATGCCGATAGAGATTAACAACCCAATTTTACAAATATTGCAAGAGAAATTTATTGGAGAGGGCAAGTACAGGAGCTGCAGTTGCTATTTCTGGAACTTCACCCATAGAAGCCAACATGTCCAAGTGGGTGTACAACAATGGAGTTTTTGAATCGAGCCCATGCTTGTCTAGGCCTGACGCGAGGTTGAGGAAAGTACAAGCACCTTGATGACCTCTCGAGAACGAAGGTTTCGGGGCACATTGACGAACATCAACTCCTTCTTCGTCAGCTAAGAACATTAAAAATGTAAAAGCGATCATTTATATATGCATATTAATAAAATAGCGAATTATAAGAACCTTTATAATTGTTATAGTCTTCCCTTCTTAACATACTGACTTCTAAAGGATCACCGATTTCATCACCAGATGATTGAAGCTTATAAGCAAAATTAGTTTTTTTAGCTGGCCCATTGTCTAAGGCGACCTAAAAAAAATGTTTTTTTAATTTACTGTTATCTCATAGACCAACTTTACTCACTGTATAACCCTTTCCGTAAGTATTCAAAGCATGGTATGTGAGAGTTGCAATTGAGAAAAGGTGAGGGTTTTTGCTTTCAACAGCCATTTCCTTAGCCTAGAAGTAAAAAAAATATAATTTTTCTTCTATAAAGAATAACAGAGGAGGGGGTTATTTACATGACAAAGAACATCAGCCATGATCATCCTCCCTTCGGCATCAGTGTTCATAACTCTCACTTTCGCACCGCTTCGCCCCTTAATTATTTCGTCAGCAACGTAACAGTTTTCTCCGACTGAGTTTCTCACCACACTCATTATTCCAACAACTTTAAGATGAGGAGGTTTAACATAACTTAGCACCTAAAAAAAAGAAAAAAAAGCAAGACTTGAAAAAGCATAAGTAAAGAAAACGAGAGGCTATAAGTAGACTTATTGAATTAAAACAATTGATAGTTATATCAAAGTTCATCTTTTCAAACTGATCTGCAAAAGTCAAGTTATTCTTTGTAAATAGAAGGGATTAAATTGAATTTTAAAAAATCAAATTAAACTCTTAACAATTAATCAAAAGTGCTCAAGAATATTTAATGTTTAAGTGTTTTAAGAATTAATTCACTAATTTCGTGGCCTGCTTGACCAATTAATATATTACAATTAATTAAGGTTTTTAGTTGAGATAAAAAAGTCAATGGCACGAGCGGGATTCGAACCCACGATCTTTGGTTTGATACGCCGCTGCTCTACCACTTGAGCTATCGTGACCTCGATCCACTCGGACACCAACTTTCGGACTTACGATAGCTCAAGTGGTAGAGCAGCGGCGTATCAAACCAAAGATCGTGGGGGTCGCCGAAGATGGGTTCGAATCCCACTCGTGCCATTGACTTTTTTATCTCAATTAAATAAAAGCGGATCACGAAATTAGAGAATTTAATGATTTAAAATGAAGTATACTTCACTAAAGCTCTCCGTGGCCATTTCATTTGTCATCGAGAATCCAATCTGATTACACGACATTCGAAAAATGGGAGGAGGGACAATTCAAAAGGTGGGGTTGAGATGGGAAGTTAGTGTCCGAGTGGATCGAGGTCACGATAGCTCAAGTGGTAGAGCGTATCTAGCCGAAGATCGTGGGTTCGAATCCCGCTCGTGCCATTGACTTTTTTATCTCAACTAAAAACCTTAATTAATTGTAATGTTTTAAGAATATTTAGTGCTTTATGTTAAATAATTTCATTTAAATATATTGCCTTCATGAACCCTGCTACAGCTGCTGCACCACATTTGTCTCTGCTCATGCCTGCCATGCCCCAAGCTCCGCACTTGATATCAGCACCACCTGTATCGTAAGTTACACCTTTGCCAACAAAGTATAGAGTTTCTTGTACGTTTTTCCCTTCGTAAGTCAAATATATGATTCTCCCCCTGTGTCTTTCAATAACTGGAAATGGAAATAATTATGATTTAATATCAGCAATAAATTTTCAATTATTTTGACGTACCACTTGCTGCTCGGTTGACTGCGGAAAAAAGCGGATAATTGGTTTTTAATTTGTTATCATCGCTCACTACCTCGACAGTTACGCCAGAACTCGGTGGGAAGACTTTCTTAACGTATTCTTCTACTCTTGGTGGGCACATACGCTCTGGGTCGCTACCACCGATATCTCTTGCAACAACTCTAAAATAAATTTAAAAAAATAAGAGGTGTTTTGCAAGGGTTTTAACCATTTTCTCAGTCTTACCTGCCACATTCTAGCAATTGAGCAGTTTTGACCAATTTTTCCAGTTCTTCAGGTTTGTCAGACCAAACTCCTAGGGATGACACTTTTGGTGATTCTTGAGGGCAGACTTCTTTAAATTGTAAAGTCTTTAAACATGTAATTTTACCAAGTTAATAAATAATCTAATAACTAACAATATAAAAAATTCAAATTTACAGACCACATAGAGTCCCTCCAAAGCACCCAATAAACACACAAGCTTATTTTTTGGAAATCGTGTGCTTGTTACTAGTACAAGCAATGGTTTTTTAACACCACACTTAATGGCTCTGAAAGAAAATTTAAACTAGTAAAAAAAAAGAAAAAAGAAAAAAATAACTTCACCCACCTGGTTATGCCCTTTTTGGCAGCCTCGCCATAACTCCTAACATCATGGTAATCAGTGTTGAGGTTTCCAGTGGGTGAATAAACAAGCCTTCCAGCTGGAACATTCACAGGAATGACCGAAACCGTTTCATGAATGTCATTTGCAAGCTAAAACAGCACAACAAATTAAATAATATTCAATTAATTAAAGTTTTAAGTTGAGATAAAAAAGTCATGGCATGAGCGGGATTCGAACTCACGACCTTTGGCTTAATACGCCACTACTCCTACCACTTGAGCTATCATGACTTCGATCCCCTCGGGCACTAACTTCCCATCTCAACCCCACCTTTTGAATTTTCCATCCTTTTTGCCATTTCATTTGTCGCCGAGAATCCAATCTGATTACACATTTGAAAAATGGCAAAAAGGAGGGAAAATTCAAAAGATGGGATGGGAGGGGAAGATAGTGCCTGAGGGGATCGAAGTCACGATAGCTCAAGTGGTAGAGTAGCAGCGTATTAAGCCGAAGGTCGTGGGTTCAAATCCCGCTCGTGACACTGACTTTTTTTTATCTCAACTTAAAATCTTAATTAATTGAATGTTATTAATTGGTCAAGCGGACCGGAAAAATAGGGAATTAAATTAAATAATGATAACAATATAATAATTAAGTTAAACATTGTTGTACTTACTCCTGCTCCAACTTTAACTGCATTCTTGACTACATCAGGTATGGTCTCTTCTTTACAACTGTGAGATACAAAAACGAGTCCATCGTAGTCTCCACTAGTTAAATCCGTTTCAGGGACCAAGGAATAATCAAGTCTGTAAGACAAAGCTATACATTTTATTAAACTGAAGATTTTTCCATTCTCGTTAGTTGGGAGCTTAACATTTAATGTGTCATATTTAGTGACCATTAATTAATGATTATGTGTGGTGTTTAGTGACCGCTAGTCAATGATTATCTGGAGATCGTGAGATGCGGTCTGGTGTGACGTAGGTTTTAGAAAAACATTTTCTTTATTGTGCCAACATTTCAATCTCTATAAAGATTACTATTTACATAAATTAATGATTATGTAAAGATCGTGAGATGTGGTCTGGTGTACATTTAATATTAACTTTTTATTAAAATAATCTATGAAATTTCAAGAACTATGAAATTTCAGTAATTTTTTGTATATGATTATATTTATGTTTCAATGATGAGATTTTATAGCCTTTTAAGATTATGTTTATTAAAGAATCTTCCAAGGATTTATATTATTAGAACTCAAATTTAAGCATGGATAAGATTTTGCTTGTAAAAGTAGAAAAAAAAAACGCAAGAAAAGGCACATCATGGGAGTCTTTATTTTCACAAAAGAAAATTCAATTCTATCAAAAACATTTTAAAGTGTTTTTTAAGAAAAACAAATATTACAAAATTAGAAAATTGCAATTTTCAATCCAAAATAGAGTATAATAAAGGAATAAAGAAGAAAAGGAAAAAATAATAGAAACTGGTAAAAAAAATCTGTTTCTTAGTGACCGGTTGTTTCATAATTTGTTGAATTTGTGAGGAGCGGTTGAGAATGAGGTAGTTTAGAAAAACACCTTTTTCATTTTTTGCCAATTTTTCAGCCTTTAGCCCTGAAGATGACCCGAATAAAGATCAAAACATTAGAAAAAAAAAAAAAATGAAAAGGTGTTTTTCTAAACTACCTCATTTTTAACCACTCTACAAATTCAACAAATTAAAAAAAATCTATATTTTAATATCATCAATTGGCTAGAAAAACTAAAATTATTTATGTAATACATTTATTGAAGGTTAAAATGTAACTTTTAATGGCAAATTCCGAAAATAAGAAAATTTTGAGATGACCAAATTAGAAAAACTGCAAATTCATAGAGACTTAAGAGACCTATTATTTTTTTTAGAGCGACTGATTACAAAGCATATATATATAAAATTCATGCTAACCAAAAGCATGATACATTTACATGTTCTTATGTTTTAATACGTTTGCTTAAAATGGGATGATTATAAACCATAAATAACTATTATTAACTAATTAGGTTAGCAGTTATTATACAAGGGAACTCAAAACTTTGTGAAATTCAATTATTGCACCATATACATATAGAACAAAAAGGATTATGCAAACAGCTAAGATACACAAAATACTAAAAGTGAAAAGAAGTTTTAGTTGTCATAAATCCTTTCATTTGATTTTTCGTGTAAGCAGATAATGACCACTCATAAGATTCTGCAACTGTTTCTCACAGATAAAATATTATAAATAGTAATATATCATTTTTGTCACTATTTATTTACCTTTCACATTTTGTGTAAATATTTTGATTCTGTTTAACGGAATCGAAACTGACCTGGCAAAACCTGCGGCTGATGGTATGCCCCAGTATTTGCCTCCTTGTCGCAACACCGATGAATAGAATAGTTAAACGAATCATTTCTGATTCACTTTTGAATAGGACAGCTGTTCAAATTATTCATAATTAGTTATTTCAATTCAAATTCCAAAATTCAAATTATTTAAAAAAAAAAAAAAAAAAAGACGGAAGTATGTAAAACAAAATTGGTCTGGGATTTTGGCATAGCTTTAAGCTCATGTTAGCTAACTGGTAATATGTGTAGACAATCTGCTTAGAAACTTAGTAAGCATTTTCTCCCTCTCCATATTAATCTTGTTATAACGAGGCATTTGATAATTATTATCCACTCTCTTTTCATATATAGTTTTCGAACGTCTGAACTCTTGTATCCAGTTTGTTTAAATAAAAGTTGTTTTCAAAAACACTTTTGTAGATTTGTCTGAGGCCTTAACAAAAGCAAAACAACAAATATCAAGATTTTGATAATAGTAATATATTATACGGGGGAGGGAAAAAAAAATTGGTTAAGAAACTTCCTTGTTTTATCTCAGTTTAGTCTCAATTCAGTGATGAAGCATAATATTTGACAACAAAAATGAATAATTTTGCTCAAGAAGTTTTACACCATCTTACGATGTGACAGACAATTATAAGGTGTTTAGATGAGATAAAAAAAGTCAGTGTCGCTAAACCGTCATGATAGCTCAAGTGGTAGAACAGCGGCGAATCTAGCCGAAGATCGTGGGTTCGAATCCCGCTCGTGCCATTGACTTTTTTATCTCAACCAAAAAACCTTAATTAATTGTAATATATTAATTGGTCAAGCGGACCACGAAATTAGTGAATTTAATGATTTAAAATGAAGTATACTTCACTAAAGCTCTCTGTCGCCATTTCAATTGTCGTCGAGAATCCAAACTGATTACACGACATTTGAAAAATGGCAAAAGGAGGGAAAACTCATAAGGTGGGGTTGAGATGGGGAGTTGATGTCCGAGTGGATCGAGGTCACGATAGCTCAGGTGGTAGAGCAGCGGCGTATCTAGCCGAAGGTCGTGGGTTCGAATCCCACTTGTGCCATTGACTTTTTTTCATCTCAACTAAAAACCTTAATTAATTGAAAGATGTTAACTGGTCAAGCGGACCACGAAATTAGTGAATTTAAAAATAACAATTTCAAGGGAGGCTTAATGTTGGTTAAATTCATAAACCAAGTTGATTTCAGTCATTTAATGTGGAAATAATCAAAGACATGTCACAATCAAAATAAAAGGTTACAACACAAGTTTCAATAGTTTTTTCTTTTGGCCAACTTTTATGACCAATGTTAATAAAGTTAACCGATTTTCCCAGAACTTTCCAGTTTTTTATTTTTATTTTAGCCTGCTTCTCCTGAGGTTTCCTTGGCATCACTCAGTGAATTGGTTCCACTTGAATTTCTTTGAGGACCTCAATCACTTTCCATATGGGAGGAGGGTGAATATGGTAGAACTGTGTTGAAATGAGAGTGGAAAGATTCGGGTCCGTTTGTGGTCAGGGGTGACAGTTGTCGCCCTCATCACTGGAGGGAAATTGGCGTCACTCAAAATATAATTAACAAACACATAATCGGCAAATTTCAAGAAATCTGAGGGTTCATAACTCCTCGACATCGGTGATTTGGATGAAAGACAGTCCAAGAAACAATCGTAACCAATACCCAGCGAATCCTTGTACCTGTGCTCAATGTCATCATGCTATTTATCTTACGGTTCTGCAGGTTGAAAGACATTGTTAATACTGTCGCGGCCGTTTAGTTTAATCAGATGTATAAGGTGCAATCAAGCCACAGAACATCATTAATTATCGATCGGTTAACGAGATACAGTGTCATACAGAAGATACAGACTAAATAAATAAAATCTTTTGGAGTGACGAAATGATTCAGAAATTCATCTTTTCAGAACAAAACAATGTGGCGAACCAATAATCTTCGTCGGATCTGCCGGGAGTATCGGAATGCAAGAGGCTTTACTGGCTTAATGCCCATCCCTAACCATTGCAGTCCTATACAGTAGTATTTTTTCCCACAATTCATTAACACTGAATTGTGGCCGTTTATTCTTATCTTGTTCTCTACAATGATTACAGAATGTTCATAAATATTTACAATATTAATAGAATCAACACTTTCAATTGTTTTTCTATTTACATTCTTGAAGCAAATACAAAATGAATATAACTCATAACAAAGGAACACTTGCTGTCACCTTACATAACTCAATTAGATATTTACTGATTAGATTTTTATGACATAATTCCCTTCCTGATCAATTTGGATCTTGAATTTTCTAGCTGAGGACAGTCATATAAATTAAGTGATCCCACGTCTGCAATGGAAGGTCGTGCAATATTACATGTCACAGTACTTATCAAAGCCATGCCACATCTAAAGTAATGAAAAAATCGGCCCTGTTTCGATGATAGTAGTTACATTACTATCTCGAAAAATGTTTAAACACATAAAAATGTACACTTGTGTGGTGGCCAACATGGTTACTGTTAACTTTCATTAACTTGAAATAGTCATTATTTAGATATTAAAAAATATTATTTTTGGTGTATTACTTTCAATGTTGGTTAAGTTAAAAACAAAAATGTTCTATGACGCAGAATATCCTAATTGGGTATGGTTTAAAAAGAAAACTCAAGAAAATACTTCTGTTTTTTGCATATTTTAATAAAATTCTGTAAGCAAAGTAGATCAGAAAATGGTCAAAATTTGGTTTTGACCTCATTGTCTTGATTCTAGGGTTATAAAACCCTTAGATATTAACTTTTGTGGAGATCGGATAATTTAATTTTTTTACTGACAATTTCGACGACCTTCTACGTGATTTGACACGCCTAGTGCAAGCTCAAACATTATTTTCATGGTTGATAATCCATTTTAAAAACATGCATTTTACAACTTCATCAAACATTAAAATTGGACTATTAATTTAAGTAACAAATTTAAAAAAAAGAGGTTAATTTCAGACAAAAATATTTTCTTATTTTATATATTTTGTAATAGAAATTTTTATATATTTTTATGATACATAGGTCGTTAAAAACTTTCGTTTTTCTTCTTTCAAATGGTATGTTCAATGTTGAAATCCTTTTAGCCGTTTTTGAATTATAGCCGTTTCAATAAAACATTCTGAGAACAACTTCCTAAAAATCAGACAAATTTTAGGGGTCAAGAAATTGATAATTTTAAATTAAAACAATTTATATTTAGGGGTCTCTGGAGATGCTAAAACCAAATTTCATATTGGTTTCACAAAAAAAAAAAAAAAAAAATTATGACCTAGTTTACTTGAAAAATATTTGGTTTTTAGAGATTTTTTTGGCTACTGACAAACTTTGATAGTTTTTCTATATTTTTTTTATTGCAATCTACATAAAAAATGCAGTAAAAATTTCCATAAAATCTTCCCGTCCGTAAATGCACAACATCTGATGATAAAAAACATAAAGGTCTGAAATGCAAAATGCGAGTGGAAATTTTGATTTTGGAGGATAAAATTTTTTCTGACTTCCCGCATGAATGCAAGGCTGTATGCAATGAAAGGCTATCTATTTATATCCATCCCTACCTTCGGTTGGAAACCAAATGTCCATAACTTCATGACCTGTGATGTTTTCTGCGATTTTTTATTTTTATTCAACCTTAAATAGCTGTTCAATACCATAGTTATTTCATTAAATCTTGTTGGATATAAAAAATTATGATTTTTTTTCACTATCATTTCATAACTGAAACACAATGAAAATTCCTTATTTAATGGGACAAATATACCAAATAAAAATTGTACATATTAAATATGTAATAGCTCAGACAAGCAATTATTTTATCTAATCTTGTTGGATATAAAAAATTATGATTTTTTTCACTATCTTTTCATAACTGAAAAGCAATGAAAATTCCTTATTTAATGGGACAAATATATCAACAAAAATTAGATTGTACATATTAAATATGTAAAAGCTCAGACAAGCCGTTATTTTATTTAATCTTGTTGGATATAATTTTTTTTTTCTTTTTTTACTATCATTTCATAACTGAATCACAAAGTTCCATTTTTAATGGGACAAATATACCAAATAAAAATTGTACATATTAAATATGTAATAGCTCAGACAAACAATTATTTTATCTAATCTTGTTGGATATAAAAAATTATGATTTTTTGACTATCGTTTCATAATCAAAACATGCAATGAAAGTTCCGTATTTAATGGGACAAATATATCAATAAAAATTATATTCTGTATTGTAAATGTGAAAAAGCTCAGACAATCTGTTATTTTATTTAATGTTGGATATAAAAAATTATGATTTTTTCACTATCGTTCCATAATCTAAAATGTGATGAAGTTCCATATTTGATGGCCCAAATGTATCAATAAAAATTAGATTGTATATTTTTAATATGTAAAAGTTGAGATAATCAGTTATTTTATTTAATAATTATTCAGAAATCGTGAGATGCGGTCTGTTGTGATGTAGGTTTCAGAAAAACATTTTCTTTATCGTGCCAACGTTTCGATCTTTTATTGAGATCATCTTCAGGGTCTGGGATTTACAAACATTGTTTACATTTAACAAATATTTAGGATGTGGAAAAGTGAATTTATACAATGCAAAATATATTTTTTATATTCAATCAAAGTATTTCTACTCACTCAAAGTGTTTGTCTTCTGTGTAATTGTGCCATTCTTGTGTGTCGTGTTGAGAGTGCCAGGGAGATTTTGCTGTTTTAATTACAAGATTACACAGAATACAAACACTTTGAGTGAGTAGAAATACTTTGATTGAATATAAAAAATATATTTTGTATTGTATAAATTCCCTTTTCCACATCCTAAATGTATTTGTTAAATGTAAACAATGTTTGTAAATCCCAGGCCCTGAAGATGATCTCAATAAAGATCGAAACGTTGGCATGATAAAGAAAATGTTTTTATGAAACCTACATCACACTAGACTGCATCTCACGATTTCTGAATAATTATCGATTAACTGTCACTAATCACCACACATTTTATTTAATCTTGTTGGATATAAATTTTTTTGCCTTTTTTTTTACTATCATTTCCTAACTGAAATGCACTGAAAGTTCCGTATTTAATGGGATAAATATATCAATACAAATTAGATTCTGTATTGTAAATGTGAAAAAGCTCAGAATCTGTTATTTTATTTAATGTTGGATATAAAAAATTATGATTTTTTCACTATCGTTTCATAATCGAAACATGCAATCAAAGTTCCGTATTTAATGGGACGAATATATCAATAAAAAATAATTGTATATTTTAAATATGTAAAAAAATTAAAAAAAAAAGATATGATAGTGAATGTGACTATATATCACGTGATCCACTAATTTTTGGATAAAATAAGTACTGATAGCAATTGTGTGCAAATTTCGAAGGTTTATTTTGTAGGAAAAAACGTTCCTATTGCCAACGATGTATAATGACATGGTTTCTTAAAGTTTAAACTGCTATACTCTCTCAATTAGCCATAACTTTTATGATATACAGAGAACTAATACCAAACGTTAAAAAATAAAAACCGGCAACCGTTCAAAATGCTAGTTAATTTTACAACGAAGATTTATCTCTCGGCATGAAAAAACAATTCAACAGGGAATATAAATAAATAGTACAATACAAAAAATAAAAGCCAACTCACTCCATTTCGTTCAGAGAGACAAATCAAGTCGGTTGAAACACGAAATCGGCCTTTCAGTCTGTAGGTTAAAATGAATTTGTAAATGCCACGTCCCACAGTGAATTTTATCTGTTGGTACTGGAGCAACTGTCGTTTTCCGCCAAATTATAAAAAAATGTAAACCTTTTATAAATGTGTCATATTTTTCAAACCGTTTGATTGAAAATCGGCTTAAAATTAATTTAAAAAAACTTAAAATTTAACAACAAAATTTATTATACATTAAAGAAAATACGATTAAATTTCGTCAATGTTTAAAGAATTTCATTGACTCTATTGCATTAATCTTCATTAATCTTCATTAACGATTTTGCATCTTCTCTTAAGACAAGACATAAATGAATTTATTTCCCAAACATTGGATACATCATTCTGAGAAAAAAAATCAAACGTTAATATCGAACAAAGTAATGTAAAATGAACAGCCTGCTCTCAGTTAACTTGTGCTTGAGAGCAGTTGTGCAGTTCTCTCACAAAAATAGTTTTGTACATTACAAAAATAAACAAAAATCGTATACAAATTAGGGTACAAATGATACAAATCGCGCTTTAAAAACATGACGAGAGTTATAGGTTTACCAACACACAGGCTTCCAAAGATCATGGTGTGTGAAATGTGGAAAAAAGGCTATTTTGGGCTGCGAGGGCAGCTCGTAAACATAATGATTCTAACGCTATCCTTGACCGTAATTTTGATTTTTGTGACACTCGTACATTTAAAACAACCTCCAATTTTTTAGAGAATCCCTAAGAGAGGAGTTTATGGCAAGAACAACATTACACACTATACAGGGAACTAAATCTGAATGTAAATTGTGCAAGTTTGACTGGAAAAAACAAGTAAAGTTTAGATCCTCGATCCATCAGATGGTTCGTGAAGTTAAGAGGCGAGTTGATTAACCTGAACTACAAATCGTACCAAGCTTTTGAACGAGAAGAATGCTGCCTTAGAACCTGAAAGCAAGGGAATTTTTCATTTTCTAGCGTTTTGCCCTACGCTTTCTGAATATAGATTATTCTTCGGGTGCAGTGTACCTACAAGAAAATAATTTTTTAGTTTGTTGGATGGATCCAATTGGGCTGCATTGGTGGAATACACCAGGGCAGCCTGGATGTATAGGAAGGATTATATTGAATGATAACATTGTTTTATTTATATTATTCAACATTATTAATAATTTTTACTTCTTTTTTATTCTTATGTGTATACTTATTTCCCTTCTTACTTTTATTCTTGTTTATCCTTATTTCTTCTACTTAATCTATTTTTATTGGGTTTATGGCATTTAACTAATTCTTGTATTAGCTTCTATTTAGTTATTTAGAATCACAAATTCTTTTCTCTCAAGTTCCTCAGTTGGCCACTTATGTACAACTGGCTTAATTTCTTTCATCTATCTCTACAGACATCTTGCTGCCCACTTTTGTTTGATAATGTTTTTAACAGAAACGACTATATAATCTGGGCAGAGAAGAAATTGATCTGTTCTTTGTGGATGGTTTGCAGCGTTCCTTGCCTGTTGATCAGCTTTTTCATTTCTAGAAATGCTGATATGACCAGGACCCCAAACGAATACATGTTTGTCGAGTGTTCTGATTTCGTAGAGATATTTGTGAATTTCTAAGATGTATGGGTCAACCGAGAAATTATTTTTGATTGCTTCAAGACCACTTTTTGATTCAGAGCAAATAATGGCATTACAAATTCCTTGCGATTCCTTTATAATGCTCAATGGTCTTCTTTATCATCATTATTTCTATTATTACTATGTTCTCACTACCTTCCAGCAGATGGAGTATCCATGCCATATTGTTCATTTTTTATCGAGTACATTTATGTCCACTTTATTATAATATTGCTTGTAAATTTAATAAACATTATATTATTATTATTACAAATTAGTGGTTAGCTGTATACAATCAATGTAATTTGACTATTGATATTTTAAGTAGTTTTTTAAATAATTATTTTATTAGTATATTACTTTCAACAATTTTTCTCCTTTAATTATATGTTTACAAAAATGTTAAATTGATCATAAGAAGTAAAGGAATTTATATCAATTTTGTTTAGATAGGTGAATCCTAATCCTATAGTTTTTGCATTGTTATAGTGTATGGAAGTGTTTACTTTAGGAACAAAAAATTTTATTAAGGCGTTTGTTCTTGTAGTGTAATTAAAATCCATAATGGGTAAAAGTTTATGCCTATAAATACGAAGACGTGAATAAAACTTTTATCACTTTAAAATCAATGTAGAGTTGTTTTGTGTTGTGCCTTCTACTTTATTTAGTAATATTTTTATTAAACAATTTTGAGCAGTAATTATTGGAGAAACTGTAGATTTTGCGGTAACACCCCAAACTATGATCCCACGTGTTATGAAGGAAAGTGCTAATGCAAAATAAACATACTTCGTTAAATCTGGTTGAAGAATATTTCTTAAATTTATCTTTTATCTTTTATAAAGAATCTTTTATAAATTTATAAAATAATTTTCTTAAACTTTTTAACCAAAGCATCAATTTGAAACTGAAAGTTTAGTTTGTTATCAAAATTATTCCCAAATTTTGTTTCTTGATTAGAAAAGGATATAATTGAGCAGTTACAAGTAAGTGAATTAACAGAAGAATGCTCGATGTTGTTTTACTTTGAGCAATTAAATTTAATGATTGTAGTTTTAAGAGTATTTAAAATTAACAAATTACTTTCTAACCATTTTTTTAAAATTACTATTATTTCAATGTTAATATTTTTTTTATTATAACATCATAATTCTATCCAGAAAAAAAGTATAGCTGTACCATCACTGAATCCCAATATTTTACCAGAAAGTTTTAATTTAAGTAAGTCATTAATGTAAATTAAAAATAGTAGGTCCTAAAACACTTCCTTGTGGAACACCACAATAAAATAAGTTGATTGCTAAAAGTTTGGGTTTTTTTTAGATCCATTTAACAAATAAGATTTAATGGAAATATAAACTGATCCTTTGACACCAATAGTGAAAAGTTTTTCAAGAAATACTCCATGATCTAAAGACGCTTTTGAGATAGCAAAGAACAATGCTATGACTTTATTTTTATTGTCTAGAGCTCTTGATATAAAATCAGAGCCTCAAAAAGTCCATCTTCTTACATGATTGAAATCCATATTGGTTTGGGGCAATTATTTGGTTATCAGAAAGAAAATCAACAAACCTTTTTTTTAAAACATTTTTCTGACATTTTTCCAACATTTTTCTTAGTGGTAGTGTAAGGGAAACGCCTCTTAATGACACACACTTTCACCTATTCCCAGACGACCTCAAAATATTCCACAGAATGTCAAGAATGAACTATTTTAGAAAAACACCTTTTTTTCATTTTTTTATGTTGTTCTAACCTTTATTCAGGCCATCTTCAGGTAGTGGGTGAATTACAAAACATGTCGATTGGAAAAATACAAAGATGTAAATAATATAAATTTTGAACCAAGTATTTCATACCGACATAAAGTGTGGTGCTATTGGTGTAATATTTATTTCGTGTCGAATTGTAAAACGTGAATTCTACCGCTCATTTCACGTTACCCTTTCTCACCAAATACATTGATGACATCATAAGAGTACCCTCAGATCAAATACAAACAACATTACAGTGATGAGCGCCGTGTCATTTATTTCTCAGTTGTTATTTTTTTTACCTACACAGTACACACTACACAGTACTGAGTTGTGCGTACATTACACGTACACTGCAGTACTAATAAAACTGAGTTCATCACCGTTATTTGTCTAATTTACAGCCAGCTTATTTTCTCTTCTTGAACGAAATGGAGTAAGTTGTTTGTCTCTTATTTTTTCTCTTACATTATTTATTTATAATACCCATTTTATTTTATTTTATTTTTTTTAATACCAGGAGAGTAATTTTAATGGTAAAATTAACTTAAGCATTATAAAACTGCAGCACCAGGTTTTTATTTTTAAAAGTTGGATATTATTGTAGTATTTAAACAAAACTTTACTTATTTGTTTAATTTGAGCGAAAAATTCAGTTTTTAATACTCTAATTGGAGTGGTTTTTGCCAGAATCCTCGATTAAATGTATTACAGCTATTAGAGTTAACTTAGTTCAGACTTTTAGGGCGTTTTTCCTCAATTCTTTAAAATTAGTTACTAGTGCGCATTATTTCAAATTTAAAAGTGCGGGATTAGTTGAATACTGAGCAAATGTTCGTTGAATCCTGACTGATAGGTGCTCGGTTATTCTCTGAGAAACAATATTCAATGCTCGCCATGCTCAGCTAATCGTCGTTTTCCTTTTCCACTTTACAGTACACAAATATTCGTGAAGTAGCTGAAATCATCCACACATTTGGGAATCAACTGTAATCATCAATCGACAATGCTATTTATTTTTAAATAATGAACAATTGCTAGATGTACTAACGAAAGAACATTGTTGGGGCCATTAATGTTTGCTGTAGAACGCTTATGGATAATGAAAACAAGGGAAAAGATAATAGAATTTTTTCCGACAGTCAGGCCAGTCTTAGGTCATTACAAAAAGATATATCAACATCTAGGCTGGTGGAGGAAATTGTTGATCTTATCAATAGGATCACTTCCAGGTATGAGAATAGGGTAACCCTTATTTGGATACCAGCACATAAAGGACACCATGGCAATGAAAAGTCGGATGGCCTAGCCAAAGAAGGTTCTAATACTGCGTTTGTTGGACCACAGCCGGTATTACCTCACTCTATGAGCACTGAGAAAGAGAGTATCAATAACTGGGGCATGAAACAATTCCTTAGGGGGTGGAATTTTTCCCCTGGACACAGGCAATCGAAAGAGTTTGTTAAGACGATCAAACCAGCAGAATCGAAATGGCTATTCTCTATCTCAAGGAAGGGAATTAGGAGGCTGATAGGTATTCTGACGGGCCACTGAGAAGACACCTCTTCGTAATGGGTATCCTTTTGCCGCTTCTGCGAAATAAAAGAAGAAACGGCAAGGCAGTACCTCGCAGAGTGTGATAGGTATGCTAGGTCTAGATTTGAAATCTTTGAAGGAGAGGACATCATCAAATCACTCCCCGAGATAAAATGGTCCAAAATCTTGGGGATTGTGAACAAGTCCAAGAGGTTTATGCAGGACACGTGAGCCGACCAAGTCCCGGACCTTTTAGCGATGGGGTACGAGTCTACCCAGGCATTTAACCCCTCGGGTCTTGGTCGCCCACCCTGCGTAATATATAATGAAAGAACATTCGGTTAGGAATGGCCCAACAATCCAGTCTTGGAGCTCCTAGATCTGTAACAAGCTGAACCATTAATTTGGAACGCTTCCGTTAAGGAACGTTGAGTACTAGTTAGAAGTCCAATCTAAAAAATTGCTGGTAATTGCATTCTCTAATTGGAACCAGACATTAAGGCATACTTAACATTTTGTTCTGTTGAGGGTCATAACACCACGATAATAATAAATAAGTGGCATAATTTGATTAGAAAATTATTTAGTAGATAGAAGTACAAATATTTATTAACTTTGTTTGATTTGTCACACATTTATGATACATTACAGTACTTTATATTTAGTTTGTTAGAAAACTATTTAAAAAACATTGATGGTAGAGATTTTTTTAATTGTGTACTTAACTATTATCAAAATTCTGATTCTTCTATAAATGCATTGTAGGCATATATTTTTCATACTTGGGTTGATGACATAATTTCCAATGAATTTATTATCATAAAATCATTTTCAAAGATTTTATAATGTATAATTTATTTGTCATGGAGGTTTAAGGATGGTTGATGATGGGTGTTAACCTACGAGTCGGTGAACTTATGCTGAACCAGCATAGAGTCAAGCATTTCGGCATTGCGCCAATCTTCAGCGAGGAACAGTTCCTTACACAAGAAAATTATTTCGCTTAACTAAACCGATTTGCAATTTAAGACAGGATAGACTGCAACAATTGAAAACGTCAAAGTAAAGGGGGAGGGAGTTGGCGTTGTTCGTTAGTCTGTAGGCTCGAGCGATTGAGGTAGTTGGAAGGATAGGATGATTTAGAAAAAAATGAAATGCCTTGTGTTGCATCTGGGTATATGAAAGTTAAGAAACTCTATTGATTGTGCAGTAGTTGGAGAAACTTGGAGAGACTACAACAACATCACCAGAGAATATGGCGTTGCCTTGAAAAAGAATGAAAACCCATTCAAAATGTTGGCAAATTAAAGAATTGAGCATACATGACACTATGCTGTGTTTTCTGTATGATTGTGCATCCCACAATTCAACATCGTTATAAGGTATTAATTCATTACTTTCGTGGTCCGCTTGACCAATTAATACATGACAATTAATTAAGGTTTTTAGTTGAGATGAAAAAAAGCTAATGGCACGAGAGGGATTCGAACCTAGGGCTAGATACGCCGCTGCTCTACCACCTGAGCTATTGTGACCTCGATCCACTCGGACATCAACTCCCCATCTCAACCCCAACTTATGAGTTTTCCCTCCTTTTGCCATCCTTCCTTAATGATTTAAAAATGAAGTACATTTCACTAAAGCTCTCCGTCGCCATTTCAATTGTCGTCGAGAATCCAAACCGATTAACACGACATTTGAAAAATGGCAAAAGGAGGGAAAACTCATAAGTTGGGGTTGAGATGGGGAGTTGATGCCCGTGTGGATCGAGGTCACGATAGTTCAGGTGGTTCGGCGTATCTAGCCGAAGGTCGTGGGTTCGAATCCCTCTCGTGCCATTATCTTTTTTCATCTCAACTAAAAACCTTAATTAATCGTTATAAGGTTTGTTCCATCTTGCGTCCAAACCGTCATGCCTGCCCTCTTGCTGGCAGTTTCTGTTCACCACCACCCTAAACATGTTTCTGTTCAAGGCAGATGAACCTTTGTGATTGCTAGTCTCTACTAATATTATTTAAAAAAAAAAAAAAAAAAATTGAACAGCTGTCCGATTGGAAAGTGAATAAAAATTTGTTAAATGATCCATTCAACTGTTTTATTCATCTGTGTTGCAACAAAAGTAACAAGACAGCAAATGGTGCTGCATACTGTCAGCCGCAGGTTTTGTCAGGACAATTTCTTTTGTAAAACCAGCTCGAAATGGTAATTACTCAAGGAGTGAACAGTAAATAGTGACAAAAATGATATATTACAATTTCTAATCTTTATCCTTGTGAAAACACTGCTTGACAAGCGTAGTTATTATCTGCATACCATTAAACAAAAAACAAAAACAAAAAATTGAAGAGTTGTGCAATTATTTGCAACTTGAAGTTTTTCAGTGCAATTTTTTTAATTGGTGTAGCTGTATTTTTAGATTGGCCTTGTACTATTTTATCTTCCTATTTGTCGGTTTTCTGCCTGATATGCTTCTCTGTTTAACCATATTTGATGGTTATTTTATTAGATAATAGTCTCGGCTTTGCCCATTTCTTTTATATACTACATATTTCATAGTAAAAGATAAACAACTCTTATCTTTCTCTATTATATTAAATCCTGCTTGGATTGTATTGCGAGAATATTTTTTGCTTTAGTTTGCAGTTTTTTGACTGGTATTTTAAGTAGGTCATCCTAAATCTCTGCTTGGTGCCACTTTTTTTTTTTACCATGGATGTTACAAAATTTATAGTTTTGTTGACTATTTCCTTCATGGAATTCCTTCCTTATATGGCGTCAACAAGACAGTGTCATTGAAGCATGAATCATATTTCATTCTATTTAAAACAAAATTGTTTGTGAAAATTTCAACAATAGCTTAATCTTTTTTTTTCAACAGGTTAGGATATTCTGTACTGCCAGTGAAAGAACTGTCCAGTAGTGATTATGATGGCATAGTTTTTGTATCTCATAGCTGTAAAGAAGTTACTGTACCCGAACCCCTGAGAAATGCTATTAAAGATGCAGCTGGGGTAGGTAAATGTGCATTTAATTTTTATGTAAACAATCTTTATATTGTGAATTAATTACAGATCGATTCCTATATACATGAATCAGTGTCAGTCTTAAAAGTTGATCTCCCAGCCAGGAGGTTGGTCTATTCTCCAACCGGTCCTCTGAATTCTGATTACCATGATGTTAGAAGTTTCGGCGAAGCAGCCAAAACGGGGATTAAAAGGTTTGAATATTATTTACTGTTTTTTAAATTTATTCATAATTAAAACTGTTTTATATTTGAAGGGCTCTGAAAAGTGGGGTTACAAAGCCTCTTGTTGCACTTGTCAGCAATTCACGTTTTCCCAAGACAAAGCTTGTGACACTCCTAGGTGTTATGGAGGGACTCTACATGGTAGGCTGTTTCTTAATGGAAAAATGTTTTATTATTAATAATGTATATATTTCTATGTCTCCAGAATATACAGCACAGAGAATTCTGCCCCAATGAGTTTCCCAAGGTCAAATCTTTAGGCGTTTGGTCCGATGATGAAGCCACTCTCGAACAATTAGTAGAAACTGCTAAAGTCCTTGAATGTGGAAGGTATTTTTCATTTTATACCGCATTATGAGTAAGTATTAACCCAGCGAAGCAAAAACTTAAGATATTTGTTACTCAGGGTGGTCGCAAGAGATATTGGTGGTGCAGATCCAGAACGCATGAATCCTCCAAATGTTGAACAATATGTTAGGCAGGCTTTTCCAGCCAGTTCAGGTGTAAAACTTGAAGTTGTTACTGATGAGGATAAACTAAACAATGACTACCCTTTATTTGCCGCTGTGAACAGAGCTGCTAGTGGTAATTTTTAAATTATTTTTGCTTCACTAATCTTAATTTCTATTCTCATGCAGTTAAACATTTTTACTTTAAAAACAATGACTTATTGAATTTCTTTTTTCTATAGTGATCGATAGACATAAGGGAAGAATAATCTATTTGACATACGAAGGACCTGATGTGCAGGAGACTTTACTAATTGTCGGCAAGGGTGTGACTTACGATACAGGTGGTGCCGATATTAAAACTGGTGGCCACATGCCCGGAATGAGCAGGGACAAATGTGGAGCTGCTGCTTTGGCGGGTTTCATGAAGGTCCTTAGCTATGTCAAACCTCCCCATCTCAAAGTCGTAGGAGTTATGAGCATGGTGAGAAATTCCTGTGGAGAAAACTGCTACGTGGCAGATGAAATAATTCTATCGAGAGCTGGGGTTAAAGTTCGAGTAGAAAATACAGATGCAGAGGGAAGAATGATCATGGCTGATGTTTTGTGTCATGTATGTATTGTTATACCTTTTTTTATTTTGTTTATTACTTTCATTTTTTAAATTAGGCTAAAGAAATGGCTCTGAACAGCGTCAATCCTCATTTATTTACAATTGCAACATTAACTGGTCATGCTGAAAGGACAGTAGGAGAAGGATACACTGTGAGTTCTTTTTCCACTTTTCTATCTAAAGTTTTATACAACCATTTTGTTGATACGCTTTTAGATCGGGATGGATAATGGCCCAGCAAGGGAAACTGATTTTGCGTACAAACTTCAAATGCAAGGTGAAGAAATAGGAGATATGCTTGAAGTCAGCCGTATCAGAAGAGAAGACTTTTCAAAACATAAAGGTATCTATGACAAATGTATGTGTAAATTGTTCAGTTTTCATTGCGGTTTTTGTACTTTTAGCTACTGCAGAAGGTGAAGATGTTCTTCAGTGTCATAATACTCCGCCTCTTTCGTACAGAAGAGGGCATCAAGGCCCTGCGGCATTTCTCATGCTTTCTTCTGGTCTTGATAAGCATGGCTTAGACTCAGAAAAGCCTCTGCGTTACACGCACTTGGATATTGCAGCTTCTCATGGTGAAGTCCCCCAAATAGCAACAGGAGCACCCCTTCTTGCTCTTGCAAACAAATATTTGCAATTGTGAACTGTATATCGTATTTTTGGAAAACTTTGCATCAGTTTTGTGTAATTTTTTTACACTTTGTATAAATGAAGCTGATTATGAAATATAAATAAGATATAACTTTAGCTTTTATTTTATTATCCCCAATTTCGAACAATGATGTTTGATACAAAAAGTCCAATAATTTTTCTACTTTTTTACTGGTATTAAGGATAAATATTAGTTATTATTCAAAATAGATGGTCGAGCAATTAATTTAGGGTGTTTGTCATGCTAGAGGTTTTGGGTTCGAATCCCTGCGTAGCCGATGGGATTTTAAATCAGATAATATGAAAAATGATTATTCAGAAATCGTGAGATGCGGTCTGGTGTGATGTAGGTTTCAGAAAAAATTTTCTTTATCATGCCAACGTTTCGGTCTTTATTGAGATCATCTTCAGGGCCTGGGATTTACAAACATTGTTTAAATTTAACAAATACATGTAGGATGTGGAAAAAAGTGAATGTATACAATCGAAAAATATTTTTTATATTCAATCAAAGTATTTCTACTCTCTCAAAGTGTTTGTTTTCTGCATAATTATGCCATTCTTGCATGTCGTGTTGAGAGTGCCAGTGAGATATATATAAGTGAAATTTGAAGTGATTTAAACAAAAGGGACATAGTTAATAAAAATTGAAAACAATATGGGTCCTAAAATTGCACCTTGTGGAATGTCAGACTAAACAGGAAGGTTAGATGAGAGTTTGTTATAGTAGTTTAACTTGTTTAAGACCTGACAAATAAGAGGATATTAATTTAAAACCAAAGGACGAAAAATCAATTAATTTTTCATTTCCAAATGGCTGATCATCTATAATAAGGGACAATTGTTTATATTATTTATTAATTTTGTGTGATGATTAGTGACAGTTAATCGATAATTATTCAGAAATGGTGAGATGCGGTCTGGTGTGATGTAGGTTTCAGAAAAACATTTTCTTTATCGGGCCAACGTTTCGATCTTTATTGAGATCATCTTCAGGGCTCAATAAAGATCGAAACGTTGGCACGATAAAGAAAATGTTTTTCTGAAACCTACATCACACCAGACCGCATCTCACGATTTCTGAATAATTAATAATATAAACTTTGAACCAAGTATTTCATACTGACATAAAGTGTGGTGCTATTGGTGAAATACTTATTTCGTGTCGGGTTGTTGTGGAACGCGAATTCTACCGTTTATTTCATGTTACCTTTTCTCACCAAATACATTGATGACATCATAAGAGTACCCTCAGATCAAATACAAACAACATGTAGTCAGAACAGAAAACAAAATACTGTTCCTAGATACACTTGTAATCAAACTGATGGCAGACTAACAACAGACTAGTACCAAAAACCAATGAACACAGATCGCTATTTCAAACATCACACTACCCTGTACACAAAATAATAAACACTGCTAAAGGATTATTACACAGAACAAAATCCCTCAGTCATGAGACGTTTCATCTAAAAAATATTCTAACATACAGATAAATCTTAAATAACAACTACTCTAAAAATATAATTAACAGGAACAGTTTTAACCCTACACTACACAAAACAACATCCTCCACAGTACCCAACACATCATCTACTCAATCACACATAGACAACATACATGTCCATCCCATGTGTCCACAAAATAAGTACATTTCTCTTCTCAAACCTCATTAAAATAGCCTTAAAAATACCACAAAACAGTATACTCAATTTTTTCAGTCAAAGACCCAACCACCAGCAGCCTACAAATCTGACATAATTTATAAAATTAACTGTATGTACTGTCCAGTTACAATCATTGGGATTACGTCACAATATATGGAAAAACAGAAAAACTACACATCTATGACTGTAAAATACCATAAACTAATCCCACAGCATTGGCCACACACCTTTTTGAAAATACAAATACTAAAACACTGAAGGAAAAAACAAATAAAAACACAACCTTCTAGAAATGGTTTACATTACAGAGACACATGCAGAATATTGTGGGTTCCAATTAACAAGCCGTTCCATGGGTGACCCATGGGGCCGGCGAATAAGACAGAGATGATGATGCTGCACCCTTACGTATACCCTCAGCATTCAGCATTGCGTTTCAAGTTTGAGTTCTCATTGGCAGATGTTTTGGAGAGATGTGCATGCCATGAGTGCTATAATAAAAGTCACATTCTACTTTTTAAATGTATTTATTAAATTGTACGCTTTGGCAGAAGAAAAAGTATAATTCACTAATTTTGTGGTCTGTTTGACCAATTAATATATTACAATTAATTAAGGTTTTTAGTTGAGATAAAAAAGTCAATGGCACGAGCAGGATTCGAACCCACGATCTTCGGTTTGATACGCCGCTGCTCTACCACTTGAGCTATTGTGACCTCGATCCACTCGGACACCAACTTCTTATCTCAATTAATTGTAATATATTAATTGGTCAAGCGGACCATTAGTGAATTTAATAAATTAAAAATGAAGTAAACTTCACTAAAGCTCTCCATGGCCATTTCATTTGTCGCCGAGTATCCAAACCGATTACACGACATTTGAAAAATGGCAAAAAGGAGGGAAAACTCAAAAAGGTGGGGTTGAGATAGGAAGTTGGCGTCCAAGTGGATCGAGGTCACGATAGCTCAAGTGGTAGAGCAGCGGCGTATCTAGCCGAAGATCATGGGTTCGAATCCCGCTTGTGCCGTTGACTTTTTTATCTCAACTAAAAACCTTAATTAATTGTAAAAAGTATAATATTAATATATTCATTACAGTGGTTTGAGTGACATTTGGAGAAAAATTCTTTTCTTAGATATTCTTGTCATGGAATTGCTGCTAAAAAGACTTTCTTAATATTTTTATAATAAAATATGACAATGTAGATTGAAGGAAAAATAAAACAATGGGATTAAACCAACTGAACAGAATACAAATATTTTAATTTTTATTAAATCACAACTTTAAGTTACTTAATTTACATAAATAATACATAAATATAATTACACAACATAATTAACACTAACATAAATGATTTACTATTAAATACATATTCACAATTAATGCAAATAATATATGAGCAAATGTTCAATATTTAAGTACAACAAAAATATTTTAACAAAATTAAAACTACAACAATTTAATTAATATAAAAATAAACAAAATATTTACATGGTGATCATCAATATGAGTTCAATTTATCCTTTCTTGAACTTTATTAGTAGTATGCTGACTATCATTAAAAATAAAATCCAAATGCTTGTAGATATATAACCTTTATACACTGACGGTCTGCTAATGTCCCAGCCTCTCGACAGCATTGACCTCAGCGATTCTGTCGAAAGGGTGAGTGGTAGTATCAAGCTTATTTTACGAAGGGCGTAATGCATGCCTTCAGCAGGCCACACAATTCCTAAAAGAGGAGAACCACTGTTTCATAGAAAAAAGCGTACATAATTAATTTTGACATCTTACCACAGAGTTCGACAAAAGGCAAAAAACTTCCTAGTGCTACGTACGTTGCACTTCTTTCATTGTCACAAACACATGAAACAACAAACCCTGAAAAATATTTAAAGTTAGCTTTGAACAGTAATTTAAAGTTAATATATTAAAAAGAAAAAAGTTTTAATTACCGTAACACATTCCACAAGTGCCACACAATAAAATTAGCAACGACACCCAGAACAAACTTCCATTGTTTTTTATATCAAATACGTAGATGGAAAATAGGATTACAATTGCTGACTGGCAAAACATGATCAGAAACTGTGTTATGAAATGAGAACTGAGAATCTCTAGGCCAGTGATACCTTTTCGACAGGAAAAATATGTTAAAATCAATCATAAGTAATTTAGAAAAGGCTAAGTAATACCAGAAACTAAGCATCTTTCAAACATTCCTTCATTACGTTCTAGCAGCATAGTCACTGACGTCAATGCCACAGCCAAGAAGAAGACAATGCTGGAATGAATAAAAATGTATAGAAAAGATGTTCGGTTGATTAATACGTTCAATGCTGGCTGGAATTTCAATTTTCACCCTCTCAGGCAGAAAATTAAAAAAATTAATTATGACATGCCTACTAGTTGGAACCCGGCAGCTCCACTAGGTCAGCCGCATTGAAAATGTTAAATCTAAATTTATCTAAAATCAGTATGTAAAATAACTATTTTTTATATTAGTAAATAATGTTGTACCATCAAGTAGTTTCAATAATGGAATCCTTTTTTATTTACTGCCAACGTGGTAAAAAATCTGACCAATGAGGGGTTACAACTTACAGATGAGGGGGGGAAGGGACTATTTAATGTTTGTACAAATAATACATACAAGTTATATATAAGTTAATTACTATCCATAATTTACATTCATACTACTTTTTGAAATTAAACATAATGAGGAAAATAAGTATTAAATTCACTAATTTACGTGGTCCACTTGACCAATTAATACATTACAATTAATTAAGGTTTTTAGTTGAGATAAAAAAGTCAATGGCACGAGCGGGATTCGAACCCACGACCTTCGGCCAAATACGCCACTGCTCTACCACTTGAGCTATCGTGACCTCGATCCACTCGGACACCAACTTCCCATCTCAACCGAATCAAGCTGAAGATCGTGGGTTCGAATCCCGCTTGTGCCATTGACTTTTTTATCTCAACTAAAAACCTTAATTAATTGTAATAAGTATTAAAGTTCTATTTCTTGAAAAATTGACTGTTGATTTACTTATCATGTGTCTCTGTTCTTTTTTTATTGTGATACTTTCAATGTATTTAGTGGATTTTTTTTACAAATATATATTTAAAGTTTGTCAGATGTACTTACGTAAGCATAACTCCAGGTGCAGCAAAATCGGTAAAATTAGGAATTACATCGCCATAAATTGGATAATTAAACTAAAAAATAATAAAAGGAGTAAAATTACATAATCAAACAATGTCTTTATTGTTACCTTAACAGGACTTTCAATTAATTTCATTTGAACGTCACAGCTGGATGCAACATCTAGTGCAAAATCTCTCATAGAAAGTAGTAAATCTCTGTTAAGAAGGATCGCTATTTGTTGGTCTAAAATTGCAAAATTCAGAAAATATTAAACATAGTTCTTTTCTTAATCTTGAAAGTTAAACATACTTGACATATCCACCCTTACGTCGATTTCACTTCCATCAAGAACAGTGTCATTTGCATCTTTACCCTGGTCGACTTTATCCCATACCATTTGTGAGAAATGAGGCGGAATCGAGATCGAGGCCCAGGCCCAGCCTTTTTTGACGGCGTAGTTTGCATCACTCACATTTTCAAAAGGAATCTAAAAATATCAAAACAAACTCGTTTTGTATTTGGAAATCATATTTTTTTTTCAAATTTATTACGTACCAATTTGTACTCTCGATTACTCAGATGGTGTAAGAATCGACAAGAAAAACCTTCGATAACACAGGACGTATTGAAAGAGCAAAGAGTCTCACCTGGAAATTCGTTATTGACTACAGCTAGCGAAAGCCCTACTGGGTCTTTTCCGATTGACAAGCAGAATGTGATAATTTGTAACATAGGCATTCCAAATATAAAGCACATAACCCTGAAACATATTTATTTATTAACTATTTTAAATGGAAAACTATATTTAAACTTACCCAACATTTCTCCAAACCCATAGTAGATTTTTCCAGACAAGAGCTTTCATATGATGAGATTTGTACAGTGATAATACATCTTTCCAGGAGAATGCTACATCATCGTCAGGAGGTATGGGATCAACCTATAATGAATTAATTACAACATATCATTTTTTATAAATTTTAAATGTGTAGATATGTTTCAAAATTTTAATTGAATTCTAAAATATAATTTTTCACGATCGCTAAAATTACTCATTTTAATCAAAATAAAATAATTTTTACATTAAAATTTAGTATTTAATCTTAAGTTGCTATGTTAATATATTTTTTATTTACCACAATAGGATGAATAACAGGAACATTGACATTAGCCAAGCTCATATTGTCTCCGAATTCTCCTGATATTTCTGACTGATTATCACAAGCATCTGATACGATTGCGATGTTTGTATCCCTTAATTCCTAGAAGATAGTCATAAATTTAATAATAAATACAAAAAAAAAAATACAACTTCTACATACAGGAATGGCATGTGCATTGGCTGCTACGACATCAGAGATTATGCTGCTCCTTCTTCTTTTAAACCTATTTTGAACAATGCTCAGCTTAAGAAAGGCATCTTCCAGGGAATCCGAGTGATACCTCTGCAGAAGTTCTGCAGGTGATTCTTCTGCTAAAAACCTTCCACCTCTCATTAGACCAATCTGAAAGACAAATCATTACCAACTCTGTTTTGTGTTCATATCGCATATTGCTTACAGTAGTTGCTTGTTTCGTCTCGTCTATATAGTGAGTTGTGATTATTATAGTTGTTCCCTTTAGAGTCGTTAATTCCACTAGGTAGTCCCAGACACTGCAATGTTTTTAAATATTAATTTAATGTTTGATATTAATGTATTATACTTATTACCTTTGCCTCAAAACAGGATCTACACCAACTGTTGGCTCGTCAAGAATAAGAAGCTCAGGTTCGTGTAAAAAAGTAGCAGCCATTGAAACTCTTCTCTGCTGTCCTCCACTGAAATTAAATTCATTTGAAATTTTATTACATATATTAAAAAAAAGAACAAAAGAGAAAGAAGACTAAAGTAAGACTAAATCTAAGCTTTGTAAATTAATTTATTGCTATAGTTGCAAATAAACAAACCTCAATGTTTTTACAGTCCTGTCTCTGTCTGGAAGCTGGAGTAGGTTCAATAAGAAATCTGTCTTTATTTCAATATCTTTTGTTTTCATTCCTGCGATCCATCCGAAATACATCATAGTTTCTAAAATAGTAAATTCTCCATATAACGCCAATTCCTGTAAAAATTGATCTTTTATTAAAATTAGTTTTTGAAAGAGAAGACATCAAGTATGCACCTGGGGCATGTAGCCGATCCTTGGACCGGGGACGCCACTTCCTCTGCTCCCTGGTCGACCGCCTAAAACCCATATTTCACCTGAATTCAGCCTCCTGCGGCCGACTATGCAGCTCAGTAGGGTCGTCTTTCCGCAGCCAGAAGCTCCCAAAAGCCCGTAACTGTAAATATCAATGATTACAAAAAAGATCAATAAAAATTTGATGTTATTTGAACGTACATAACCCCTTTAGGAACAGTCATGCTGAGATTATCAAGGATGATGTGCTGATTTGACTTTGGCCCGTAGGTTTTTCTTGCTCTTCTCACGCAAACTGCATTCTGTTTTCTTGTCCATACTGTACTCTGTTGTGTTAAGAGCTGCTTTGGCTTTGCCTTAGGCCCTGTAGTCTCTTTGAAAGACATCCTAAACATTAGAATAAATTCATTAATTTCGTGGTCCGCTTGACCAATTAATATATTACAATTAATTAAGGTTTTTAGTTGAGATAAAAAAGTCAATGGCACAAGTGGGATTCGAACCCATGATCTTCGGCTTGATACGCCGCTGCTCTACCACTTGAGCTATCGTGTATGATCACAAGATCACGATAGGTCAAGTGGTAGAGCAGCGGCGTATCAAGCCGAAGATCGTGGGTTCGAATCCCGCTCGTACCATTGACTTTTTTATCTCAACTAAAAACCTTAATTAATTGTATTAGAATAAATATTATTTATGGATAAATTTCCAACTTAACAAGTATAATAGTTATTTTTTATATTGACATTCATATAATTGATAATATTTATAATAAAAGTTCAATATTAAAATTATGATTTATATAAGCTCAAATTTGCCCATGTGTATACATACACACATGTACTGTTGTGCCTATCTCTCATTCCAACTTTTGTATAAATTACAATAAATTACTGGCAGGTCTCGAGAATCACCTACCTTTGGTGTTGGCAAGGGTCAGACTTATAAGTCCTTATTTGTCCAGCTGCCGAGGTTGGGCCACATGGGCTACTAACAGCTAGGTCATTTCAGCTAAATCTAAGCCCATTCACATTCTCACTCACTCTTAAATACATTCTTTTTACATAGCATTCACTCAATTAGGGTGGTGGAGTACTTGAGACTCCTATTATTTAATTAACGTAATTGGGGGTCGATAGGATAGACCAGTCGTCGGCAAACTCGTCATCCAAAAGAGCCAAATATAATCAAAAATACAAAATTGAAGTTTATTCAAGGAACAATTTTTTAAACTTAAGCTTTGTTTTAGTAGACAATTTTATTAGAATTAAAAGTACACTCTCGAGCTTGCCTTTGCTGATTATGTCTTAGTTTAACTAACAGTATACTAAATAAAACTTGGTATCATTCTTATATAAAGATAATATTTATTTAAATATTTAATAAGTTAAATAATATAAAAGGTATCCTTAAAAAACTACAAATACTCCACTAATGTGAACAATGGCCTTGCATTTCCCTGGAAAGTAGGGGTAAGTCAGGTTTGTATGTTGTTTTTAATTTTAGGCACGATTTAAGTTCTCATCGATAAGCCAATTTCTTAATCTACTCTTGATAAAGTTCATACTTGAAAATGATTGTTCGCATAAATATGTAAACCCAAAAAAGGATAGAAAAGCAAACGCTAGTCATCCAGGTGTTAAAAATCAACATATCTTCCCTCGCCAGATCATTTGTGCTGTAAACATAATTCACATTTATTTTTCTCCAATGGCTGTAAATCGGTTTAAAGACGCTCGAATTTTGAGCTCCAAAATTCTTGATTTTTTAAATCCAGCAACTGCATTTCAAGGCTGCCAATATCAATATTACAGGGCAAAAAATTAATTTATGTTACCGTGGCATCAGAGGTTTTTTTTTTAACAAAGGCTAGCATCGCTTTGTTGTTTCTAAAAACTTTGAACCTGCTGAGCAAATTTCTTCAGGAAATGTCTGTGCACATAGATGAATAATACAATGGTAGGTAAGTATCTCGTGATTAACTTTTTCTTTAAAAGTAGCGACAATCCCATTTCTTGCACCTGTCATACTTTTCGCTCTGTGTCCACTCTAAATGTTGAAACAGTGAATGAGCCGCAGCCAAGAAGTCAAAGAGCCGCATGCGGCTTGTGAGCCGTGGTTTGCCGACCACTGGGATAGACAATATTCTGTCATTGGCCCTCTCAGACTATACATTCAAACCAATAAATACATTCACTTTCAACACACGCTAGGGACACAAAAACTGTCTGTACTGTAAATAAATAAACCTGTTTCCTCCAAGGATTGTAACAGAGGACCAAGATTCTTGTTGCCATGCTTAAGCACAATTCTCAAATCGGGTGGCATTCCTACATCCTCTGTATATAGAGCCAAGGAATCACACCCTTCAGTTCGTGAGACACATTGAGCAAACTTTCCCTTCATGCCAGATACAAATGTGGGCTTTGACCCAATAGTAAGTGTCCTTGTGTCCCCCTCGGCATAGCCTTCTTAATTGTGTGAGGATGGCCCCTCTTCTACAAGTCTGGTTTTCCGAGGGCGATAGCTCTCTTGCCAATCCAACCCACCGATGCTGCCACTTTCTTTAGATCATGTTTTCTATTGCATTTATAGTGTTAGGGGATCAGATTGGGGTGGTCAAGTCGAGAGATTGGAACATCCTGGCCTTAGCCACCTCGTCCACTTTTATTGTTAAAGTTATTAATCTTAATTATAGCTTTTTATTGCCAATTTTAAATTAGTTATAGTAACAAATGTTAAAATTATTTGATTTAAAAAAAAAAAATATTTGCCAGTCCTCTCTTCCTTAGTTTTACATTTTTTCTTATCTTTCTCGCATATTAATACTACTAATTTTTTTTCTTTACATTTCATTTATATAAAAACTATCAGTCTGGTAAAAACAATAATGCTTTAAAACATTATTTTTAAATGTGTGGTAATTAGTGACCGTTAGTCGATGATTATTCAGAAATCGTGAGATGTAATATATTTTTTTGCATTGTATAAATTCGCTTTTTTCCACATCCTACATGCATTTGTTAAATTTAAACAATGTTTGTAAATACCAGGATCTGAAGATGATCTCAATAAAGATTGAAACGTTGGCACAATAAAGAAAATGTATTTCTGAAACCTACGTCACACCAGAAAGCATCTCATGATTTCTGAATAATTATTTTTTAAAAACATTATTTTAAAACATTATTTTTTAAATGGCTGTTTATGTTTTGACTTTACAATTCAAGCATGTCCATTCTTATTTTTTTACATTTAGCTTGAGGTGAAAAATAATCGAGTGGAAAAAAAAAAGATGGGCAAAGGAAAAAACATGTTATTAGGAAAATTCCTACAATAAAATCCAAATATTTTCTTTCAAAATTAGTAGAAAAGCTTTATATAGTGTTTACATGCTTCAATCAAATATTAATGCAGAATACCTGTTAACAAAAAGTATGCTATTTTTATTTTAAGCTCAATTATTCAAATAATAATACATGTTCTGAGTTAACAAAGAAAAAGAATAGCAACTTTGTACTAAGTAGGATTTTCCCTCATAGGTGTTTAAGAACATCACCTTCAAAAACCTGTTTGTTTACGTACTACTAATTGTCCTGTGAGTAATTACATTATTTGTCAACAAGTTCGATGTAATATTGCCCGGTTTCAGTTTATTCTTATTGTGTTAGTTGTTTAATAACGTTATCTAAAAGTGATAAAATGCTAGAAAAAATGTTGTCCTAATGGCTTGCCCAGATTTTTTTAATGTTCAGTTTAAAGATTAAGTACACAAATGAACAACTTCCTGAGATAGAAGGATTATTTAAGAATTATTTAAAAAAATAATGTTAACAAATTTGTTTATGCAATTAACCAATTATATGCAAGGAAAAGCTTTATTACGTTGTAACTTCAACATAGAATTTTCTAAGCTATCAAACTGACTCATAAATTTTCTGATTAGATTTTTCTTTATGGTCAATAGAGGTTTTCTTTCAAACCCTCATAACTAAATATTTTTTGAAAATTAAAAATCATGAATATCTGATCTCCTTTAATTAATTAATAATTAATATAATGATAAAAATAAATACATATAGTTTGAAATAAATAACAAATTTGCACCATAAATTAGCATCCTCAGTTCGGTATTTTCCTCTCTAGTTCAGACAAGAAATATATATAGAACATATTATTAGAAGATCTAAATCATAAGAATGGGTAGTCGATTTATCTGATGACAAATTTTTTAATCAAAGGCGCGAATTGAATGTAAATTGAAGAGGGAAGTAATTAAATTTAGCACCTTGGCTGTTTTTCTCAACAAAGTGTCTAAATAAAAAGTCTTCAGGACAGCATTTTTCAAATCTATTGATCACTTTTTAGAGTGTCAGATGTAATGGGAGGATTAAAACTACCTTAATTTACTACAAATATTGGGCTGTAATAAAATAATACATTTTCATGTCTTCTTTCAATTACTCCTCTATTCAAGGTGTTCTTTTTAGATAGACTGGATGAATTTCTCTTGAACCAAGCTATCAAAAAAAAAAAAAAGTTTAATATTTTTGAGTTGAATTATACAGGGTACTTCAGCCCCAGTACAACTTCAAAATTTCATATATGACCCTATACATGCTGGTAAATCATTTTAAGGGATTTTTTTACGCTGAAAACAATGGTGAAATATGACCTCATGATCTATGGCCTCCTCGGTCACCTGATTTAACCATTTGAATATTTTCTGTGGGGCCATTTAAAAAACAGTGTCTATGCCATAGACTATCATAACCCAGCTACCTCAGTTGAAGAACTGCAGCAAAGGACAGAAAATGTTTCTCAATAAATGCTCCAGTGAAGAGTGGTTAAAACGTGTAGTTTTTGTTTTTTGATAGCTCCATTGGTTCAAAAGAAATTCATCCGGGCCATCTAAAAAGGACATATAATAAACTGTTTATGTATGATGGATTATTCTTTTGTACGAATATTAACACTTTTTAATCCTCTTCCAAACGAAAATGTTTGTTTACCTCAGTAGCATTTTGATATTTGGGAATAATTCAGTCTTTAATAAGATGCCAACGCATGATTTTCACGTCATTTTATTTTACGAGTTTAAACTCAGTCGGAACGGTGCTCAAACGGCCAGAAACTTATTAATGAAATCTGGGGCGATGGTAGTGTGAGGGAGAGCACAGTTCAGAGATGGTTTAAAAAATTTCAAGAGGGAGACTTCAGCCTTGAAGACAAAGAAGGTCGTGGAAGGATTTATTTCCTAGGTAATGATGTTCTGTGAGCTTTGCAAGCAAAATCCCAGACAAATATTGGAGAGCTTGCAGAGAATATTTTAATTAGCAAATCGACCGACGCTGACCACCTTAAGGCAATTCGAAATGTGAAAAAGC